GGGGGGGGGGGGTGTACATGCTCCAGGGCCAGTGGGGCTGCTGCGGGGGGACAGTGGGGCTGCTGTGGGGGCAGGGGAGCGTGTGTACCCTGGGGACAGTGGGGCTGATGCGGGGAGGCGGGGGTACGTGCGCCTGGGCCAGTGGGGCTGACGCGGGGGCTGGGGTGTGTGTGTGCTGGGGCCAGTGGGGCTGCCGTGGGAGGGTCGTACATGCCCTGTGGCTGCCATGGGGGGGACATACGTGCGCCTGGACCAGTGGGGCTGACGTGGGGGCGGAGGGGGGCGTGTGTGCCCTGGGGCCAGTGGGGCCACCCGGGAAGGGGGACTTGCCCTGGGGCCAGTTGTACCGCCAGTGTATGTGTGTGCTGGGGCCACTGGGGGGAGCGAGGGAAGGGTGCGCTCTGAGGCCAGGGCGGACATGGGGGAGGGGGGGCCTCCCTATGGGCACCCAGTGGGTCACTGTTTCGAGCTTTCCCTCCCAGCTAGGTGGGCTGTGAAGTGGTTTCTCCTCAAATCCCCTGGCTCCGGGAGCTGGGGCTTTAGGCAAACCCGGGAGAGTTGGTGGCACCAGGTCCCCCGTCCTCCTGTTTGTGGGGCACTGGCCCCACCTTCCCCGTGCTGCTGGGGGGGCCAGGGCGCTCAGCCCAGCCGTGGGGAGTGGGTCTCGGGCTGGGGGGTCCCCCAGAGCAGGGCCCCCAGGGACAGTGACTAGGCCTTGCAGGAGGTGCTACCACACATCCCATCCAGGGGGCTGAATCAAGGCCTCAGTGCGGGGGTGGGGGTCTCACTGCCCTGTCCTGGGCCCCCTGTGTTCCAGGCTCCGGGCTGCACCCGCCCCACCCCAGCCCCCTGGCGACGGGAGACGAGGCCACCCGGGGCATCGCTGTGGAGAAGTTTGATATTGTCAAGAAATGGGGCATCAACACGTACAAGGTGAGTCTGTCTCAGGCCATGGGGGGTGGGAGAGGGAATGGGCAGTCCTATTCGGGGAGGGGCCAGCTGTCCCATGGGGCGGGTGGGGAGGTCCAATGGGGGGATGGGCTGCCTGTCACAGAGTCCCCGGGCAATGCTCTGGAACTGCTCCCCACGAAGCCAGTTAGGACTTTGCGGAGCCTCCTCTCCCTCGGAGCAGACTGTCTTCAGGACAAGAAGCTCACACGGCTTCACCTCCTGGGTCTCTCCTGGGAGCATTCAGCATATGCCCCTCCGTGCACTTCCCACAGTGAGTCTGCCCAGGCGGGTCCTGGGGAAGCCAGAGGGTCCTGCACCCCCACTTCGCAGTCAGACGTGACTCTCAGCCAGCCAGTAAAACAGAGGTTTATTAGATGACAGGAACATGGTCTAAAACAGAGCTTGTAGGTACAGCGGCGAACGGGACCCCTCGGCCGGGTCCATTATGGGGTTCAGAGAGCCAGACACCCACATCTGCACTCACTCCTAGTCCCCAGGTAGATCCAACTCCCAAAACTCCCTCCAGCCCCTCCTTCTCTCGGCTTTGTCTCTTTCCTGGGCCAGGAGGTCACCTGATCCCTTTGTTCACCTTTAGCTATTTCCTTGCGGGGGGGCCCTGGCCATTTGTTGCCAGGGAGACAGAGTGTCAGTGATTTATGCACACTGGCCTTTCCCCACCACCTAGAGACTTAAGAAATGCATAGGGCAAACTGAGGCACCCACACAGTATTCAGAAGAAACATTAAGAACAGTCCCACTTCGTCACACTGCCCATGGCGGCGGAGGATGGGCTGCCTAGGGGGGAGAGACCGGCTGTCCCATGGGGCGGGAGGGGGGAATGGACTGTTTGGGGTGGGGGGAGGCCGGCTGTCGCATTGAAGTGGGGGCCGAATCGGCTGCCCCTGGAGCTGGGACTGGCTGTCCCATGGAGGTGGGGGAATGGGCTGCCTGGCAGAGGGAGGGGTGGCTGTCCCATAGAGGGGGGAATGGGCTCCCCATGGGGCTGGGACTGGCTGTCCCATGCAGGGGGAATGGGCTGCATGGCGGAGGGAGGGGTGGCTGTCCCATGGGGCCAGGGAGGGGGCTGGAGTACAAACTGCATGAACTTCCCTCCTAAATATTCAGTGGGGGCTTGTGGGAGCTGCCCCTTGTGGAGCCCCCCCCCCCCCCCCCCCCAGGGCCCTGAGGAGCTCTTGACCCGTCCCCCTCCCGTAGTGCACCAAGCAGCTGATCTCGGAGCGCTTCGGCCGGGGCTCGCGCACGGTCGACCTGGAGCTGGAGACGCAGATCGAGCTGCTGCGTGACACGAAGCGCAAATACGAGTGTGTGCTGCAGCTGGCGCGGGCACTGACCCACCACTTCTACAGCCTGGTACAGACCCAGCACGCCCTGGGCGACGCCTTCTCCGACCTGAGCCAGAAATCCCCCGAGCTGCAGGTATGGGCCCGGGGCGAGGGCCGGCCGGCTGGGGCAGGAGCCACTTGGCACCACTATCATGGCCTGTGACCTTGGGCTGGGCCCGGAGCCTCCCCTCCCGTGTGAATGGGGGGCTGATAGGGCCCTGCCACACAGGGGGCGGAGAGGGGAGGTGCAGTGGAGGTTGCAGAACTGCAGTCAATGGGCCAGGGAAGTGCCCCAGGCTGCCAGGCCGGACCATGGCACAGGAGGGATGGGCTCTTTCATGGGGGGGCAGGAAGGCTTCCGGCATCCTTGGGGCCCTGACCCGCCCCGTCCCCACCCCAGGAGGAGTTTGGCTGTAACGCAGAGACGCAGAAGCTGCTGTGTAAGAACGGAGAGACCCTGCTCGGGGCTGTCAATTTCTTCGTCTCCAGCATCAACACCCTGGTGAACAAGACTATGGAGGACACGCTCATGACTGTTAAGCAGTATGAGACGGCCAGGTGAGC